TTTAAAAATCTGGTTGGGGCTTCTTTGAGGCTGTGAAAAACTTACCTCGTCCGACTTCTCCACCCGTATTATCCATGATTATTTCTAGCTTAGGATTTTGTACATTTTGCCGGCATCCCTGTCGAGGTCATTGAATCTTGCCAGCCCTAGCAACTATCACATCTTATTAAATAGACATGTGAAATCCATTCCTCGAATAACTTTCTGCTTAACGACTGTGGTATCTCTTCTTTCATTGTACATTTCCATATTCTGCGTCCTACCTCACTTCCTTTTACACTTATTCTTTATTCTGAGCTCTACAATTATGTTTATTTGGCGTATTTGTTGGGGCGCAATTACAATCCTTGCTGACTTACTCCACCCACTTTTGCGTCTATAAACTGTTGGTTTGAAATGCCCATTTCATTATACCAACTCCTTTTTCCAACTCCCATCAGATTCTTCCTCATACGACCTGTTTCAAATATTACTGGTTGACTGATTTTACTCTGTTCTAGCCATTTTCATTATTCAACCCATGTATTCTCATCCAAATGATCTTCGCTGCCTTTCTTAAGGGGATTTATAGTTGAGCTAGCCTTGTTCTTCCATATATAATGCCAACTAATTATGATTTTTACCTTTCTGTATTCCATTTTCTTTGTATGACTACCTTATGAATATAGCTGTTTTCCTGGTCTGGGTATGCCCACTTCAATAGTCTTCTTGATTTACGATAGTCTCTCAAGTGCCTCTTGCTTGAGATTATATTTTTTCTTTTAAGCAGATCTTCGTTGAATACTATTTTACTAATTTTACTTTGCACTATTCTTGCTGACTTCTGGTTTCTTCCGGTTTCATCTGAGCAATTCGCAAATGTCAGCTAATGCTGCTTTGCCTTTTCTTGTTCATTAGATTCTTTGCTGTAGGGATATCGAATACCTCTCTATTATTCTTTCTCTCTATATTTTCATCGTTTAAGACACGCATTTCTATTGACATTCATACATTTCCCCCAATTTTTGGTAAATATATATATATATATGTGACTCGACTTCTTATTTACTTTTTATCGATAGATTCAAGACCTACTCAAAAGTCCACTTTGTATTCGCTATTTCGATAGATGATACGCATTACCCACTTTCAAGTTTTATTAAGGATGGTTTGGGGATTTACGCGTTGTTAAAGCTTCAACACATCCTAAACGATTAAGCCTTTTTGAAACATAACTGAATGAAATTCACTGAAATTGTGAGGTCTTCTACTTTTTTGATTGTAGGCAATTTAGCTCTCGGTCTCTCCATTACTTTATCAGAACTCGAGTGATTTAATTTTCTATCCAAGTTTTATTCATGGTTCCGAAACCTGTTTATTTGCCGATATCCGAAAATTGCATCAATAATCGAAATTCATATATCACCCGATTACGGCTCCTGACTATTAAATGATAGTTTTCCTTTGACTTTTCCAAACTAGGTACGTTATTGAATTGGATGGTAAGTCTCTAGAATATTATCTTGCTCATTATCGAAATAGATCGTGCAAATGCGACTAACTTGATATTACTTGTATTAGATTTCAGCTTTGATTATATCTAAAGTGAGCTTCATTGTGTCTCATTGTTTTTGCTTCTTTACTAAGAATCAATAAATGAGCATGAGAACGCTAAAATTTATGACTAAAGTGGGTTCTCATTCGATCAAAAATGTATCTAATTACATGATCACCTTTATTTTTTGAAAGGCCCAAGAACGCTTTCACCACCCCGATGGCGATTTGACTAGACTTCTTCTTATATACCGAGCTTTCAAGAAAGCCAGCATTGCCTCCACCTCATCTGTAAACACGATTCATTCTTTGGGCCAATTGGCTACCTCCACTTCTTCATCTACCTCTCTGCAAACCTGGTGTACTCAAAACTGCCTAAACAAGACTCGTCTTGATTTGGCCGTCAGAGTGCGCATCCAGCTCAAAGCCTTGGTTCGTAGCAGTGGTCTATCGCCACTACAGACTTGTGGTGAACAGACGGAGCTTATTACTCAGGCCTTTCTGATGGCCGGTTTTCGCGATCAGGTTTGTAGAATGGCCTGAGCTATTTTGTAAAATATCTAAACCCGATCCCCACGTAAACATTTAAAATCATGCTGTATCAATCCTTATATTGTTGCCTTTTATTCTCGGATTGTAATTTTAAATCCTTTTTAGTTGGCAGTATTGGCCGACTTATCCGTCCTTCCTGCTCCGCAGTCCTCTGTCTCCTGTGCCTCCAGATTCCAACATGCCTATCAGCTTTATTGTCAGAAGGATTTACCAATGAATAGCTGGACTTCCAGATTGCTCTATCTCCACCCCTCATCCACCCTTTTTCATTCCGACCTGCAGAACCCTCCGCCAGCCCTGCTTTTCATCGAGGCTGTCACAATTGCTAATGGCAATGGCTTATCTCTCGAAAATTTGCACGACACTTCTTCCACTGACCTTCATTCACAGGGTACTAGTAAGTAAACTGCAAGCGTGGGCATGGGATGCTAAGATGAGAAGGAGAGGTTAGAATTAGCCTTGTTAGCTCTTATTGACTAGTTATTGTGAGCTGAGTAGATGTTAATTAAAAAATCACCTTCATTGTATATTTTAAATCTTATGAGTCTTCGACCTCTTCTCCATGGACTAGTATTGCTGCCTGACCAATTTTGTGATTTGATATTTTAAACTTTAACACTTTATTCACACAAACCCGATACATTTAGCATGATACTACACTTTAATTTCAAAGGGGGACTCAAGCTAAGATTGGTAATCGATCTGGTGATCTGATGTCAAGTAACACTTATTTTTGGAATTCTCATCTCTGACGTCGTTGAGTACGTTTTCAGACGTAGATGGCTAACTATAACAGTTACGTCTACATTTTTAGATTTAATGATATACTAAACTGGGAATTTGATCCTTTACAGCAATAGCCTATCTTATTATACTGTTAGGGGGACTTTCATTACATATGAAAGTGCATGAAGAAGAGATTCGTAAGTCGAGCTCACCAGATGAAGACGGATGAATCGCACTGTATTGCAGCCGTTTAGCTTTTATACTTGTTGTACTTATTCCATTTTCGAGTGAAATTGTTGGGTGAAGAGATTCGAAGGTCGGTTCCACCAGAAGGCAACGGCGGATTCCTCTTGACCAGCTATCGATTGGTTTTAGTGGAAGATTCATGCTGACGCTGCTTCCAAGGTAATCTCATTCGATTCCGGTGAAAAGGTGCTAAGCTTTCGTCCGTCTATTTCAATAACAGTATGCCTTAGAATTAATTTAATAAACTACCTTAGGAAACTACCTTTAAAATGCACTAATTGCTATCACGTCATTATGTGTACTAAATTGAATTTGTTAGGAAATGCTCTATGCTTAGTTTGGTTTCTTAGTAATGTGGTAAATATGACTAAGGATCTGACATGCTGCCAATAATATTTCCTCATTATTGAGCTGCATGTTGCCTAATTACATTATTGATAAAAAATTTGGAGAAATTCCACAAGTAATATTAATTGCTCTATAATTAAGCCGAAAGGACACTATAGGAATCTATGTTTGCACCTAATTGGTGTTCAATAAACCAATTAAGTTAGAACGATACGCCTGTTTTTCGGTTCACCATACTAGATAAATCTTAATTTATGGGATCGTGTTTATACGGATATTCACTTTTCTCCACTTGATGGATTCCTCTAGAGCATTCTCGTTTTATTCGTGGAGTTCGATTTTACCTGCAATTTTTTTACATATCATTGTTAAGACTACAATATTTGCCAATTAGATATTCGAGAGTATGAAAATCAAAAAGGTGTGGCCTTTTTAGTGGTCGAAGTCTCCTTTCGTTCTATATAAGTTGTTTGACCTTGTTTTCGCAACTTGGTCATATTGGTAGTAAAACTTGAGAAATGCACCTAATCCGGAGTCCATAGTATGCATGATAATTTTCAGAGTCCGGAAATGAACGCCATCGTCCGTTAGCATTGCTAGTCAGAGCACCGCACTATTACTTGTCAAAGAGACAAGTGAAACTGATCGTTTGACCATTTGTCTGCTAAACAATCGTGATATCTCTCCTTCCGTCCTGGGCTAATCACCAATCCTATATCCTCATATCACGCCTTCACAATCACAATTTTTTACTTGCTTATTTAAAAGTGGTATGGTGTGCTCTTTTGAGCGGCTTTCATGAGAACTCTCCACACTCCACATTGTTTTTTTGCCCCGTCGCCCCCTTCACTTTTGTGCTGGTAATGTCGACCAGATTCTGCCATATTGTTACGCGGGCCTCCTTTCGTAGGCCTTATCAAAATCTCCCTCTTTTTCCCTATGATTCGCCTGCTATCTCCCTGGTTCAAGTATTTCACTCGACCCCTGCCACCGCATCTGTGATACTCGAGGCGTTATTTCCCATACACTGCCTCGGAGACTAACTTGAGGCTAAGGCGCCTCCTTTGAGCGGCATTCGTAAAAAGCCTTGATTCTCCACGCTGGCATTCTCACCCCCTTCCACCTTGTGCTGGGAATGTTAATCAGAGTCTGCCATAATTTTACGCAGCCCTCCTTTCCTACGTCTTATCACAGTCTCTCTTTCCCCGTAAGATCCGTCTGCTCTCTGCCTGGTTCACATATTTGACTCGACCCCTGCCACCGCATCGAGGCGTTATTTCCCATACAGTGCCTCTGAGACTAACTTAAGGCTAAGGCACCTGAGCAATTCTCATGGTCAAGCCTTTGCTTCATGTACCACGTCTATGGGATAACAGGTCTACTGCAAGCTAACTAACTCTAGTCTCCGCTGCGTCTACCCTTTTTCTATCCAAAATACTAAGTCTATGACTTCCCATATCCTTGTCTCTTGTGTGCCAATCCACAAATGTTGTGGTTCTACTTGTTTTGATTAAGCTCACTGAAAAGGTCTCCTCTTGACTTTGCTTGTTCTTTTCTGATCTTGCGGTTTCTTTTCCTAAAATTAAAGATGTTACCTTAATCCAATCGTCTTCCTTTTGTTGATCTTCTCAGAGTTTGCTTAGGCAATATGCAAAGTTTTCGCTGATCCTGCATTCTTCAAGCTATAAGTTCATTATGTTTCTTTCGATGAATATATCGATGGCCTTACGTCTTCTCGTATTTTCACCATTTGCAGCCAGCCTTTCTACCGATTTTATGTCCCGTCCGTGCAATGTGTTTCGCTATTCCGGATCTTTTCTCTTCCATGTTTGTACAGAGTATTTGATATTTCTTGATTCATATGCCTATTTTTATTCCTGTTTAATCAATATACATCCGCTCATATTTGCCGTATCTGATACGATAAATTCCCGAGGAATCCAGTTGGTAAATCTTCTCGTGTTGCGTTGACAAACGTGAAAAGTGTTGTCTTTTGTCTCTTATCTCCTTTATATTCCATTCTCTCACTAATGGTCGCAGATTTTGCTCAGTCCTTATCGAGGCAGGCATATCCACTTTTGGTCCTGATTCCTGATCTGATTTTCATAATTTCCGATTTGAAATTTGCTCTTTATGACTCCTACATTTTTTAAAATTCCTTGGGTTACTGTTACTAAGGCAACTCCGAGTCACTGTCAAATTCTTCGTCTCAGAACTCAGTGTCCATTAATTTTAAGTTTCTGATGATCAAACTCCTCAGTATTCTGATCTTTATCCTGCAGTTATGGTGAGACGGAGAATTAAGGATTATTTCCGCATGTGAAGCTTTTCTTAATAGTCTCCTTATGACTTCCCCGTTAGTTTGCATGATTTAAATAGCCAAGATGGGTAGCCATTCATCCTCCACTTTCATGTGAATGTAATTCGTTCATCGAGGAGATTAAAAAATTGAGAATTTATTCAAATTCTTCTTGCTATGCAAACAAAGTGCAAAGTAGTCATCCAGATATCGCATAAGCACTATCGTCTTCAGTTGCGACTTCTCGAATTTCCTTTCCAATTTGTCCATGTACACAATTGCCAAAAGAAGCGAGAGTGGAGATCCCATTAGTAGTCTAAATATATGCTCATATATACTGTTGTTAAATGTAAAATAGGCGTTACTTACTGTCAGATTGATCAGTTGTGTTAACGACTCATTCCATATCCGTTCTGCCTTAAAGGTATTCCTTTCTTGCTCCAATATCTACGCCAGGGCGCTTACCGCATTCTCGCCCGAGATGTTTGTGTACGTCAAAACATACCAATGGTTCCGTTCTCACCAACTCAATGTTTTCAATCATTTGGGAAAATTCATTTGGATTCTTCATGCTATTCAAAAGTCTGTCCTTTATTCTCTTTAACTTAAAGTAAATTAATTTCTCTAGCTTGTTTATTGCTCCATGTTTGTTGTTGACTCTTATTCTTAGCGGATTTCCTTCCTTCCTTATCCGTAGGCTATTGGTAGCCTTGCTTCATTTTTAGTTAGAGAGTTCTTCATCCATTTGTCAATTTCATGGTATTATATATATTTTTTTAGCATATCCATCATTGTTCCATTGATCTTCATGGATAGATCCTTCCTTAGTATTTGATAAGTGATCCTGTCGCTTAGGCTACCTTCCATTCACTCCTCTTACTGTTTCCTGTCCATTACTACCGTGGCTTCTTCCCTATCCGCCTGAAGAACTATATGATCATTATTTTGTTTTTTTTTCTTATACCAGTCAATCCGATCCTGTGTATTGTCTTTTGATGTGCCAAGTTTCATGGGATTATTTCCAATTCTATCTCCCATCTTTGTCTCTTTTTAACATTTATCCTATATTTTCACAACATCCACACGAATATCTTTTATATTGTTTCCTTTGTTACCTTTGGAAGAATTTAATACCTTCAGTAAATATTTGGTTTCATCATTAAGAGAGATTAAGCATAATTTTACTACCTTATCCCTATCGTCGTTTGTAGCAACTGGTGCCTTCAATACACAACCATCAAAATTTGCTCGGGCTGCATTGATCCTGCGTTGCCTTATTATACCATATCTAAGCAATTTCTTGTCATGCCGCTTATCTATCAAATCCTGGACCCTTTGGGACTACTGATCAGTCATATCCTGGTGTTTTTGAAAATCCCCTGGAGTGAGAACCCTTTCTAGATCCTCCCTAAATCTAGACTTCGTTTTCGCAACTTAGAGCACCAGATAGACCTTGTGAAACGTACCTAATCCTGAGTCCTATGTCATAGTGTTTGTGATTTCCAGTATCGGACTGTTGACTTGGTATAGGCCTATGAACTTGCCTATTGTTTAAGCAAACTTGGAGCAAACAAAGCTACTGCAAGATCACAAAAACGAAGGTGCTTGATTCAAGGACCTATCTTTAATCATAGGAAAGTGGATCACAAGGACGAAGCAGGTGAGGAAAATTTTAAAATCAGGGAAAGACGTTTTCATTCAATAAAGTA